TAACAACTGTGGCAAAAAGGTCATAAAATGGGGCCCAACTCACTTAACTGCCTTGTTTAGCCACATAAATTTTGGGTTCAATTGAGGTCTTAAGTGGAGGACTATCTCTATGTAGCCTAATTTTATAGGGCAGGAAAGCCAAATTTCATTTTTATCCTGACCTATTTTTTCCTGCTGATTAGGATCTCCACCTATGTCCCTTTGCTTATGAGTCACTTACTGTGACTTATAAATAATAAACCATACTTAGACGCAAAAAGACAACCAGCCCCTAGATGGCAGCAGAGATACTGAAATCTCTTACCATAGTTCTTTGTTGCCTTTAATGGCCATTTGTATATTTTGCAGCCCAGATATATAAGCCTAGCAATGGGATAATGGAAGTGGATTCCACCTGGCTACACAAAAATGTGAAGCATACTCTTGTTTTCTAATATGTATGAAAACATGAAGGTAGCAGAGACTTTTTCACATTCTTCTGCAATCCTATCCTTGCAAAGAGGGAGTTTGGAGACTTCAGGCACAAATGTTTAGCAATTATTTGTGGCATTAACATGAGACTAAGCAATAACTATCTGCCATTACCGGTCTGGGACCTGCCTCCAGCTGGGCATGCAATTGGAACTCTTTCTTTTTCTTTTTTAAAGCTTAAGCCATTTAAGTCAGGTTGCAACTCAATCCTTTCAGATACCCAGACACATTTGAAATTTTTTGAGTATTATAAAAATTCTCACAAAATGGGACTTTTTCCATTTGTGCCTAACGATCATGGCACAAAAATCCCCTGGCAGAATTATTTTTCAATTGTGGCCTGTGAGGTTGCTTACATCCTATCTCCAACCCATAAATGAGACAGACTTGTGATCCTCAGCTACAGCAGGGTTAAAGCAATGTTTACTGTCTCAAGCCTACGGCATCCAGGAGCAGCCACATAATATATTGACTCTGTTATGCATCGGCACCTGTTATGTTGGATACAAAGCCAGGTGATCAGTACTGAGTGGGAACAGGGCACTTCTCTTGGCACACACCCTCCACTCCAGTTACTGATCAGCTTCCTCTGCCAGCTGTTGATCCCTGAAGAGCCAAGCTACACATCTATATTCCTGGCAGTGTGGAAGTTGCATTGCAAATTCCTGGGAAGCTGTAAGTATTTGGATGGGGAGAAACAGACTGAAATTTAATCTTAGCAAGATGGAGTGACTATGGATTCAGTGCCCATCTGAGTCTGGGATTATATCAATTTTAAATTCTGGGTGGGCTTGTGTTACCTCAGATAGAGCTACAGGTGGAGGCTCTGTCAGCTTTGATATTCATTCATTCATTCATTCATTCATTCATTCATTCATTCATATCCTGCTTTTATTATTTTTAGAAATAATTCAAGGCAGTGGAAATGCCTAATACAGGTAGTCCTTGACTTACAAGTTCGTTTAGTGACCATTCAGAGTTATAGTAACAAAGTTATAGCAAGTGAATTATGACCATTTTTTACACTTACGACCACTGCAGCATCTCCCAGGTCACGTGATCAAAATTCAGACATTTGGCTACCGACTCATATTTCTGAAGGTTGCAAGGTCACCTTTTGTGACCTTCTGACAAGCAAAGCCAATGGGAAGCCAGATTCATTTAACAACCATGTTACTAACCTAACAACCACAGGGGTTCACTTAACAAGAAGAAAGGTCGTAAAATGGAGTAAAACTCACTTAATAAATCTTAGCAACAGAAAATTTGGGCTAGAATTCAGGGATAGGCAACCTTAGCTCTTTTATGACTCGTGGACTTCAACTCCCAGAATTCCTGAGCCAGCCATGCTGAGGGGAAAGGGAAAGGCTTCCAAGCTGAGCCATGCTGGCTCAGGAATTCTGGGAGTTGAAGTCCACAAGTCATAAAAGAGCCAAGGTTGCCTACCCATGGGCTAGGTTGTGACTGTAAATTGAGGATTACCTGTATTCCTTCCTCCTCCTTATTTTCCCCACAACAACAACCTTGTGAGGTGGGTTGGGCTGAGAGAGAGTGACTGTCCCTAAATCCGCTCTGGAGCAATATGATTGGCTACAGTCATTCACCCTCTCATCACCTTATGACTGAACTACAATGTGCACGGACCCGCTTGGGGCCAGGTTACTTGACGGACTGCCTCTCCCCAGTTACATCTATCTGGCCTATCAGAGAAGGAAGGTGAGGCATGTTGTGAGACCCAACCATCAAGGAAGTACATCTGGTGGGACCTAGGAAAAAGGTCTTCTCTGTTGTGGCTCCCTCCTTTCGGAACATCGTTCCCTGAAAGATCGGTCCCCCACCTTGTTACTTTTCTACGAGATCTCGAAGGTGCTGTCTCAGCTGTCTTGGGGAGCCCAAATCCGGAGCCAGTCAAGTGACTTGTCTGATTCTGTGGTCGCTGCCATGAAATGGGGAGGCTGGCAGTGGTGGTGGGGAATTCAACATGGATTTTTAATGTTGTATGTTGCCCAGAGAGTCACTGTTTGTAAGTTGGACAGCTATATACAGTGAATCGGTTATTTAATTAATTGGTTAATTCATTAATTAATTAAAACTGTCCTTAAAGATCACCCCAAAACCACAGCTAGGACAAAAAGCAGTGACCCACTTCATAATAAGAGGAACTTTTACAGTACAGGTAGTGCTTGACTTACGACAACAATTGAGCTCCACATTTGTGTTGCTAAGGGAAACGTATCAAGTGAATTTTGTCTGATTTTACAACCTTTCTTGACACAGTTGTTAAGTGAATCATTGCACTTGTGAAAGTAGTAACACAGCTGTTAAGTGAATCTGGCTTCCCCATTGACTGCTTATTGGAATGTCGCAAATGTCAATCACATGTCCCCAGGACACTGCAACTGTCATAAATATGAGTCAGTTGTCAAACGTTCAAATTTTGATCATGTGATCATGGGGCTGTTGCAACGGTTGTAAGTGTGAAAACAGCAATAGGTCACTCAATGAACTGTTATAAGCCGAAGACTACCTGTATCCCAATAAGACCAATAACACAGGAGCTTCTGGGTGCAGTTCAAGACATTGGTTATAAATCATCAGTTAAAATCTTCTATGGCTCAGGATCTCCTAGATCATAGCTGGAGGAAGCTCTATCTCCTATAATATAGGAGATAGAGCTTCCTCCAGCTATGATCTGCCTGCCCAAGGCATGTCTGCAGAGAGCATTTTAGGGCAGGAGCTCCTTTCCTAGATAAAGCCCTTCATCCAGATGATCTGGTAGGATCTGGCAGAGGTATAGGATCTCTGCACCCTCTGCACCCTGATTTTCAGACAGCTTTTACAACACACCTTCAGAGACTGACATGTGAATAGTTAAGAGATCCTTGAGACATTTGATAAAAGGCACTGATGATATATGATGGTAGGTTTTATGATTACAGCACAATGAATTCGGTTATCATAGTTTGGATGACTCTGTTTTGGTTTGGGATGATGACATTATTAATATTGTATTTGTATTTTGCTGCGCACATATCATAAAAAGAACTGAAGAATTGAAAGAACCAAATCTTTGTTACGATTGTTCAATGCCCAGAGTCATTTTGTCTCTGATGGGCAGCTGTAGAAATTGAATAAATGAACAAATAAAATACAGAAATAAAAATATAACAAAGTCCACATGTGCCCCTCGGTTTAATTTCACATGGCATTCAGTCCAATTTCAAATATCCTTTGCAAATCATTGGTGGAGACCTCTAACTATTGTTAATTGTTTTTTTCCCCTCTGATAGCCAGCTGGATAAGGAAGAAAAGAGGAAGATGGGGAGAAAATTGCATCTAATAGACAGAGATAAAGGTTTTACCAAATATCATCCTTGGTTTATTTAAATTGAACAAGGAATATTTGCATTTACTGAAACTGACCTCTGAGGCATTTGTTCAGTCTGAAAGATGATTAAGCACAGTGATGATCTGGAGAAACATATGCTCTTAGTGGCTAGCAAACAGCCACATATCCCAGAGAGAATACTTTCACTATATGACATTAATAGCTGGTCTCAGCATCTATTTGCATACATCGTTTTGAGACAAGGGACATTGGTAGTGGGAATAGATCTACCACTGCAAATTAAACTTCAATTTCCCAATTTCCCTTACTGTAGTCTTAGATTTTCCTAGTGGTCTCCAATTCAAGAACCAACCAGGTCCACTCCTGCTTAGTTTTCAAAATCAGCCAAAGTTGGATAAACGCTTAATTTTAATATTTCTTCTGGTTCCTTTCCTATATGAAAGTTGAATTGTAGGTACAAGAGTTCTTATCCTTAATTAACCAGTGGGGGAACTGGAGGGGGGTGGTGGAGAAGGGAAATCACACCTTTCCTATATGTTGTCCTGATTCAACATTGTATTAAGTCATCTTTGGATAGATCATGATTTGTTTAGGACTTTTTTGGGGTATGCCTTTGAGTCCATTTTGGCTTCTGGTGACTTCCTGGACTAAGTCCCTGTAGTTTTCTTGGCCAGATTTCGGCCAGATTTTGGAAGTGGTTTGCCCTTGCCGCCGCCTCTTTCTTCTAGTTGACCCAAGTGGCTTCGTGCCTAAGGCGCGCCAAACCCCATTCCGCGTCTTCCAAAGCAGACCACGGTGGCTTGAGGTGAGGTCACGGTAGCCACGCCAAACAGACACCGCTTAGTTTACGGTTCTAGCAGGACGGACTGACTCCCAGGCCGAGCCTCAAAACAACAATGCGGGGAGAGGCGGGGCTTCGGAAGGCAGCTGCAAACGGCACCTCGGGCGCTTCCCCAGCACGACACCGTCCCCGCGCCGCTCACGGGCAGTCCGCCCGCTCGGCCGGCTGTCAATCATTCTCCCCTCCCCAGCCGCCCGCCCGCCCGCCCATCCACCTCGCGGCAAGCACGCGGGCGGGCTGGAAGAGTCCCGCGCGCTCGCGGGTCCGACTTCTGGCGCCTTGGCCGCGCGCGACCCCGCGCGCCCTTTTGGACACTTTCCCGAGCCCTCTCTCCGCCCTCCCACCCCGGGCGCGGCGTCGCCCCGAAGAAGCGCCGCTTCCTCTTCCTCGCTCCGCCGATTTCGGGATATTCTCGGAGGCGCTCGCGCGCACGCTCGTGTTCACACACACACACACATACACACACAGAGAGAGAGAGGGAGGGAGGGAAAGAGAGAACACACAAATCTCTCTCAGCGCGCACAGGCCCCTCCTCTACTTCATCACCAAAGCCCTCTTCCTTCGGAGAAAGCAGCAACAGCCGCCCCGGGGGTGGCGGGCGGAGACGGACTGAGCCGCCCTCCTCCTCCTCTTCTTCTTCTTCCCCCCTCCCCCTCCCCTCCCCTCCCTCCCCTCGCCTTGCCTTTCCCGGCACCGCCCCACCTCGCTAGCCTCTCACCCCGCGCCCATCTGCCTCTCCGAGGGATCCCAACCCGGACCTGCCGCCCCTCCTCTTCCAAGGATCGCAGATTGGGACCTGCCGCTCCCCCCCCCCTCGCTCCCTCCCTTTTCCCGCTGCCTGGCGAGATCTCGTCCTCCTTCCGGCTGGGATCCCTTCATCACCTAGACGGCTGTCCCTCTTCCGTCGCTCCCGCAGCCTCCCGGGCGGCTCTTCCTAGCCTGGGCACTGCCCCCGGGATGCCTCCGCTTTGGGGGAAACCTCGCTGATCTGCAGCTCTGCCCAGCCGCCTCTGGGGACGCCGACCAGGCGCCTCCTGCTCGCCTGGAAGATCCGGCACCTTGGACAGCGCCCCAGGTAGGGATCCCGCGTTTTCTGGCCTACCGTGGGAAGGAGCGGCGAGGGGCGCTAGCAAGCCTTTGTCTGATCCGTCGCTTCGCCCTTTGGTGGGACGGGAGGTCCGTAGCGCTGGGAGGGCGACCTGGGAAAAGGCTATTCCGGGTCAATAAATGGAGAGGGGTGGGGGCAACCCGGGGCACCCGGGATGTGGGAAAGGTGACGGGACCAGTGTAGCGTGCGACTATATCAGGGTATCAGTCACCGATGTTCGCCGTGTGGCAAAGTGCCAACGCCATCCCTCGTGTACAGGGCAGCAATTTACAGAGCGGGTGCTTTGCAGCAAGGCTTGGATTTATGCCTGGTGCCAACCGGGTTGATTTATGCCTGTCCCCAGAGCCAGGCCATGGAGACAGCTCAATCCCGGAATGAAGTCAGGGCTCGCTCTGTGCATTGCCAGAGTCCGGAAGGGACTTGAGAGAAGGAAGGTCTACGGAGGCACATTTTAGCAAAGAGCCAGGCTGGGCTAACATCTCTGGGCCTTGCAGTTTCCCATGTGCTATCTTGCTCCTTCTGATACTTAAACCTTCCACGAGCCTGCCCCAGCCTCTGCCAGGTACACCCCTCCTCCTGTTTGCCTGCTAATCCGGGGTACTAGCTTTGGACCCCAAATGGCATGTTTGCCCAATCAGCCATCATCCCAGAAAACCCACTCTCCCCCTTTTAAAGCATGATCTCCCCCCCTCTTGTCACTAAACTTTTTCTAAGGCTTGGGTGAAAATTCTGCCATGGGACAGTTTCTTAACTCCCCTTGTTTCTGTCTCTCACCCTGAAGAAAGGTAGGGCTGGCATCTGTGGGAAAAGGGATGTGGGCAATATGCAGGGGAATTTGCGTGCAAGGGCTGTGCCACCCATAGCCTGTATTAATAGCTTCCCCATGGACCCGATCCCAAATCATGTCCTCACCATGCCAACTTTCTCCTTTGACACCCTCCCCCCCCCGATGGTCGTTCTCCCCTGGTTCTATCGATGCTTAATAAACTGGGTTAATGTGCACCTCAAGCCTTTAAGGCACCCGCAAGCATGCCTCCAGGCAATGAATAGTCTCCCTTCAGCGGTGTGGAGCCTAGGGGTAGCTGCAGCCTAAATCTAAATGTAACATAAAGAGAGGTGGGAAGCCCCCAGGCCCTCAGCTCCACTGAGATGGTGGACCTCCTGCTGGGGGACCCACTCCAGCCAGGAGCTGATGGGCACGAAAAGATTCTAGACCAGCTTTATGCAGCATGGACGGAACAGAAGGTAAATATATAGGCACTGGCAGCAGGTGAAGTATAAAAGCAATCCTGGCTGCATCTCAGAGACAAATAGATTTTCAGGGCATACAGGCAGTCCTCAACATACAGCCGCAATTGAGCCCAAAATGTATGTTGCTAAGTGAGACATTTGTTAAGTGAGTTTTGCCCCATTTGGTGACTTTTCTTGCCACCTTTGTGAAATGAATCAGTGCAGCTATTAAGTTAGTAACCCGGTTGTTGAGTGAATCTGGTTTCCCCATTGACTTTGCTTGTCAGAAGGTTGCAAAAAAGGGGATCACATGACCCCGTGATACTGCAACTGTCATAAATGTGAGTCAGTTGTCAAGCATCCGAATGTAAATCACGTGACCAGGGGGATGGTCGATGCTGCAAATGGTCGTAAGTATTTTTTTTTTTTTTTTATTAAAATTTTTCAAAAGTTTTACAAATAAAAATCCACCCCCCCCCTCCCCAACCACCCCACCCCCCCCCCGACTTCCCAGAACTGAATATAGGATTATTTAACAAATATTTTAAAAATAACATTTGCAATTTATAAAATAATTAATAATAATAATAAAAATCACAGTAATAATATATATAATAATAATATACATAACATAAACTTTAAAATGAATAATATATACTAAAAAAGAAAAAAAAAATAAAAAAAGAAGAGAGAGAGAGAAAGAAGAAAGAAGAAAGTAGACGAAGAATAAAGCATATATATATAAAAAAAAAAAATATATGAATAATAATACGTAAAAAATGTATATATATAAAAAAGAAAAAGAAGAAAGAAAGAAAGAAAAAACAATCATTACAAATTATAAAAAGGCTAAATAATATTTTTCCATATCCAAATTATGTTGTATAAAATTTATCCATTTTTCCCATACCGCAAAAAATTTTTCTTGAGATTGCTCCTTTAAGAAAGCCGAAATCTTTGCCATTTCTGCCAAATACGAAACTTTATGAAACCATTCTTGTAAAGTAGGCAAAGATTCCTTCTTCCAATATTGTCCTATTAACAACCTAGCGGCTGTAATCAAATTTAACATCAATATAACCTCCTTAGCATCACAGTCAATAACAATACCTAGTAAAAATAATTGCGGAGTAAATTTTACCCTCCTTTTAAAAATTCTTTGAATATTCCACCATATCTTAATCCAAAAAGCTTTTATATGCTTACACGTCCACCAAATATGGTAATAGGTAGCATCCAAATATCCACATCTCCAGCATTTCGGCTGTAGATTAGGGTACATAATGGACATTTTCTTTGGGTCAAGGTGCCATCTATAAAACATCTTATAAAAATTCTCTCTTAAATTTTGCGCTTGTGTGAATTTAACATTTCTTATCCAAATAAGTTCCCAAGTATCCATTGAAATCGTTTCACCAATATTCTGTGCCCATTTAATCATACAATCTTTAACTAGTTCAAGTTCTGAATCTAATTCCACTAAAACCCCATAAACTCTCTTAATATGGGTTGGCCTTTGATCTCTTACTTGTTTTAAAAAAATTTCATCTTCTCTAAGCCAGCCCATTTTACAATCCATCTTCCATCTATCCACTATTTGTCTATATTGGAACCATGAATAAGTTAAGTTTTCATGTGTTAATTCTTCCAAAGATTTTAACTGCCAGTCTTGGCCATCCCATCTTAGTAACTGTACGTAAGAGACCTTGTCCATATTTACCCCTTTCCTTATACCTTCTATGGCATGCCGAGGTATAGCCCATAATGGTATTTTGAAGTCACTTTTATAATACTTTCTCCACACTCTTAGCAAAGAGTTTCTTATAATATGAGACTTAAAAACCCAATCCACTTTTTTATTAAATATTAAATAGGCATGCCATCCAAAAAATAGGTCCCAGCCTTCCAAATGAAGTATTTCTGTATTTGTTAAATTCACCCAGTCGCTAATCAATGTCAATACTACAGCATCATAATACAATTTCATATTTGGTACCTTGAGTCCACCTCTCTCACGAAAATCTTGCATTATTTTAAGTTTCACCCTTGGTTTTTTCCCTGCCCAAACAAATTTATTAATACCTTTTTGCCCAAATGGTCGTAAGTATTGAAAAATGGTCACGTCACTTTTTTCAGTGGCGTTGTAACTTCAAAAAGGTCACAAATGAACTGTTGTAAGTTGAGAACTACCTGTGTTCTTTTAAATCCTGCTTTGTTGGGATCAGGACCCACATTTCCAATATTACATGCTCCCACCCTGTGTCTGTACAGACAGGTCTGATCAAAGCTCCAGCTAGCTAGCTCTAATGAACCTCCTACAATGTCCCCAGCTCTGAAATTCACATCCACATGACATTTGCAAGCGTACACAGGAAAAGTCCTGTCTTATGTTATTAAGTGTTTTGGCAAGATTGACATGTTTCTGGGAAGCCAAAGCCTCAAACTTTTCCTTACTGGTGCATCTGACACCTTGAGGAACTCAGGGGTATGGTTGCTGGTCTGATTCTACCACAGAGCTTTGGATGCCCCCATAGGCAGAGGTCTGTGTAGGGGAACCTTACGGTACCTCTCTGCACTCAGCTGTCCCACTTCTTTTTAAAATAAAAAATAAAAAACAAGCCACAGACAGGGTGATTTTTTTGCTGATCTGTTTTAAAGGGCTTGTTTGTAAAGAGGTCTGCCGTGTTATGTAGCCGTTTCTTACTAAAAAGTCCAACCTCTGTTTGCCGTGCTTTGAGCAGTGGCTGAGACGGAGGATCATGTTACAAGAAATAAAATACCGTGTGGAAAGGATGGCCAAGTGCATGCCATTTTGGAAGAGAACTCTCTGAATCAGGGGTTTTGGGCTGCAGCCCAGTCGGCCTGTATGCGCACCCATGTTTCTTCCCTCCTTAATGCCGCTTTGTGTATAAATATGGGCTTGTTTACAAATTGCATATGATGAAATGGAGTCTAATCCACCGAACCTTATGCTGCAACACATTTGTCAGACTTTAAAGTATCACAATGCTCTTTTGGTTTTGCTGTGATAGAGTAGCCCGGCTCTCTCTCAGGACAGAAATGGCTTTGCATACTCAGAGGTGCAGGAATAAGTAATAAACCGCATGATGTGAATCTAAACCTCGTGAAGATTTGCCTTCCGGTGCAAGCCTTATGCTGGAAGGATGGGAGAGCCAGGATTACAGTGAAGGCTGAACTTTACTCAGACGAATTCCTGGGCTCTTCAGCAAAGGGGCCCAGGATGGCCTCTTAGAGCCTGGCAAGTGATAGAGAGTTAAAAAAAGAAGAAGAGGACTTGGTTTTTCTCTGTCTCTTTTTTAAACAATGCATCAAGGCTTATTCCCAAGGCAATGTATTTAGCATCGAGGTAGCAGGGAGGAAAGATACATTTCTATTCCTGTCAGCATGATGGTGCCATAATTTTAAATGACTTCAAAATGCAAAACTGCATATGGCATGACTGAGGAGTTGCCTTTTTTCTGGTTTGTGTAGAAGCCGTTGCAAAACATTGGCTGGTGACAGAGGAAAACTGAGCTGTGTGCTTCATATGCTGAAGCTGTGTACATCAAAGCCTCTTATCTTGCAGACTCCAGCAAGACCACTAAGCTCCAGGAACACAACTCCTTTGCCCCCCTGCTGCCAAAGCAGGCTAATGCCCATGGGCGTGAGACCCAAGCCAGGAGGCTCTGTGTTCAAGTCTCTTCCTGGCTGCAAGCAACCCCCCTGGGTTTTAGACA